AGAATTATTTTTAAAAGTTTCATAACTGAATCACCATTCACGTTGTCACAATATAATTGTAAACTGGCAGTCCTGCATACCCTGGGGAAAGATCATCTGCCTGTGTCTCAGAGACATTTAAATTATTACAAAGATGACTGCACAATTTCTCAAAATTCTATTATGGGTAATTATTTTATTTTTCTTATGGAAAATTATAGCATCAGCTAAAACTTTGAACACTAGATTTCATATGTAAAAGAACTAAGAAAAATTTTAATTAAAACAAAAGCAATCAGGATGTGAACAAATGGAGAAAAGTAAATAGTGACAATAACAAAAACAGCTCTATATGGCCTTTAAACTTAATTTTCTTATGACCAGGATAACACAAAGCTTTCAGTGTCTTTCCTATTACCTACCCAAGTAAAGGAAACCCACATCTTAAAAAAGAGGTAAAGAACCAGTACTTTATTAGATTTAACTATTGTAAAATTGAATTCGCTGCTCCTTCATTCAGTCCCAGGGCGACCTGGGTCTGCATCCCTCTGATGCTTCAGGTCTCGGCTGCGGCTATGCTGTGGGTGTTGACCACATTCTCACACTGTATTAGAAAACAGCATAAGTGCCACTTGTTACGTGTGTCTCTTATCCCAGGGAGCCGCAACGTGGAGCTAAACAACACAAAATATACATCAAGGTTCTCAGCAGTCCAGCAATCACACACAAAAAAGCACATATGAAATCTGTGACTATTAGGAAGAACTATCAAGAGAGGAATCTTTGATCTATGCCAAATGGTGCTTAATGGTCTGTCCTACTTACTTTCCTATTTCATTAACAGTTTAGCTAGATTATGCTTACCACGGGAGTTAGTATTATGCAGTATTTAAAACCAGGCATCTTTCAGTCAGTATGTCAGAGCTGGAATCTTGGATATGCTACTCTTCAGTTATGTGAACTTCAGAAATTTATTCTTTAAACATTAGCTTCTCTCTAGCTATTGCTACCGACTTTAAAGCATAGGAAAATTGAGTAATATGAGAAAATATGCAGCCATGCCTCACACAAAGCTCTCAAAACATAACTAAAAATAATAACAAAGTCTGACAATGAAACAAGGTAGCAAAAGACTAAGTACTACATAGTCCGGTGTTGCAAATAGTTGAATCTTATCATGATGTTTTTAGATCCAGACCTTAGTTCAAAACAGGGACTATTCACTCTACAGACACAGTAACGTTTATCGTCTATCTTCTCCATGAAAGCTGTAATTGTTACCTCTTCAGGACTATTAGTAGACTATTAGTCCACCAAAAAGGGCTAAATGTCACAGCTGAGCTTCCAATGATTGTGTCAGCCTCGGAGAGTGCAGGCGAGATGAGGCTACACGAACAGGTTACACCAAACGCACCGTACAAGACCTTCTAGATGTCTGAAGTTTAGTGTAAGTTCGATAAGAACCACTGAAGCATTCTGAATACTGAACTAAGCTGGTCTGTGTTGTCAAATAATGACCTCTTGAATTATATAGACAATGGGCTAGAGGAGGATAAGTGGAGAAGTAGAGGGCGAGGAATGCAGTTCAGGAAATAATGTCATGGGTCAAGACATCAGCACTGAAGATTTGAGAAGCGAGTAGAAGGGTGACATGTTTTGAAGGTAGTATTGGCATGGTTGATTACGTATAGGGAAGAGAAAACTCTAAGACTTCTGTCAAGTAATTACACGCTGTGTCGCATAATGCAGTGAGAAGTATAGGTAGGAAAAAAATAGCTATAGGAGGAGAATAAGATCAACGTTCCTGGGCTTCAGGGATGGCTCAGTGGGCAGAGTACTTGTGGTGCAAGCATGAGGACCAGAGTTCAGATCCCCACCACCATGTAAAAGCTAGGAGGGAGTGGCAGGTTGCCATTTCCCTGTCACTCAAGAAGGTAGAGAGAGGAAATCCTCAGAGCAAGCTGGATAGCTAGACTAGCCAAATCAGTAAGCTTTGGATTCGAGTGAGAGACCCTGCCTTAAGGTATAAAGGTGGGGAACAGTTGGGAAAGACATCGAGTCATCAACCTCTAGTGGAAACACAGGTGTTCCCACGCACAAGTGAATATGCATACACACATGCAGAAATGCAAGGCTTCTATACCATGAGCGGTGTTTCTAGTGGGTGGTGGTGGTGCATGCACTAGGGAAGAAGAGGCAGGTGGATCTCTGAGTCTAAAGCCCGCTTGGTCTACAGAGAGATGTTTCTAGGATATTATGTGAATATACATGAATTGGACAATCGTATATAGAACACTAGAGCTGAAAGGGGAAATTTAGGACAAGAACAAATAGAATTTTAATATTATCTAAGGTTATGTCATAGAAACCTATTTTTTTTTCAGTCTAGGAACAGTTTGTGAGAAAATTAGTGATACCTCAAGAATTGTTTTAGTAGCATTGTGTGGGGAATAAGGTAGAGATAATTCCCTAGAATAGACTTGTAGGAGGAAAGAGAATGCTCGACAACAGGTGAATACAAGAAAGGTGGGTATTTTGAAAATGGCATTTTAGACAGAAGGATCCCACAGCAGTTTTACTCCCACAGACAGCTAGAGTGAGACATGGGAATCCTGGTGAGGCTTAAGATCAGTAAGAATGCTTGAGCTCCAAGTTCTATGTTGGAAGATGGGTAGAAGAGCCACTGGAACAGGTAAGACAGATCAGGATGGTGCAGACATAGACACGGCTTACAGATTTAGTGAGAAAGGGATGGAGACAGTGAAGAGTTTAAGATAGCCTGAATATAACTCCATTTTGAAATGATGATTTTTGACTGGGAACTGAATTCAGGTACCAGGAAATATCACAGAATGTACACCTGGCAGAAAACAAAGTTAATTCTCCTAGCAACAGCCTCCAGGAAATAAAACAGAATAAATGCTTCATAGAAAATAGAGACAAATTCCCTGGCAATAATCAATGGGAATCAGTTGAGAATCAGGTAGGAAAATTCTCCCCCAATGTTTCACATATGGTTTAGAAAAATAGCCATTATATGCCTTAGCCATTGTGATTGTGTGCCTCAGAAAAGGTCACCCGGCCCTGCTAAACTTCACCCAATTCTGTAATGCCAAGACTTGTGTCCCCCTGCTTGCTGCCATGGAAACCCCCTGCTCACAGACTTTCCCTTTAAAAATCCTGCTCACTCAGAGCTCGGGGTCCCACTTCTCTACTGCTGCTTCAGTGAGACTTGGGTCCCGAGTTCGATCGCTCTCGTAATAAAGCTCTCTTGCAATTGCATCCAGTCGTCTCCTGGTGGTCTCTGAGGGTCCCGGGAACCTGGCATAACAACAGTACAGCCTTATTGAATCTAGACTAAGAGACAGACAAGGGCATCGTCTCATGGCTGTGAGCTCGATACCAGAGGAAGGCTCAATAAAGGTAGAAAGGTATGAGCTAGGTGAAACAACGCTGGGTGTGCATGGACTAAAGTTGTTCTTGTGACTTGGGAGTTAGGGGTGCTTAAAAGCATGATTGTCTCAGCAAAATGGTGAAGGTTGCTAATTCCAGAATCCAAGTGGAGGTGAGGGGATTAGAAGATGGTCCTCATACACTCAGTTGATGGTAAAAATAACTGTATGCTAAATGAGATGGAAATGAGAGAACAGGGGGTAAGTCCCAGACTTTCTCAGCTCGTGTAGTGTACACGAAGTATCACCGAAGGCTTTTTTTTTTTTTTTTTTTTTTTTTCCCACTGCACTCCTTTAGCGGGTGTCTAGGCTACTTCTCTGTGTCACAGTACCAACGTCCATAGGGACAGTGCTCATTCAATACGTACTAAAAAAAAAACCATAAGCTGAATTAAATTGACTTGTGAATTTTAAGAGTTAAATAATGTACGTAAAGCTCCCATCAAGCACTCAATAAACGGGAGCTTAAAACGGGTCTCAATTGTTGTATCTTTATAGGATAGTTTTTGGCTTGTACACACTCGAAGGGCAACACGCATTGTTGATTGAGAAGTTCCAGCTAGAAAGGAGGAGTTATGTCTACCCGTTTACTGTTTGAAGATTCTACTTGTATTCCTAAATGGCGTCCTCTGAGAGTTGCAGCGTGTGCCAGTGCGTGTATATGTATTCAGAGAGAGAGAAAAGGAGGCTGCAGGAGAGAGTGCGGCAACTCAGGCAAGAAACTGTAGAAGAGAGCTTTGAAAAGTAGGATGCCGGAAAACCCAGAGCTGCTGAGCTAGTGCCCCTGTCCCACAGAGAATCTGGGTGTTGTGTGTTTTCAAATGCTTGTCCACTAGGTGGCAGACGTCTCTTCTACAACTGCAGTTATTTCTAACAGGTTTGTGTTTCTCTCACAACACCCACACCGAAGGTTTTTCACGTGAAGGAAATCCAACCTCGTAAATCGTTTTTAAAACTTTCAGCCTAGAAAACAGCGTTCAAATGAAAAGGGTGAGAAAGGATGAAAAAAAGGAGCAGCCCGCCGAGGAAGGAGCTGCACCGAGGGATTAAACTACAACTCCCAGGAAGCCATACGCTGGTTTCAGCTTGTGCGCTTGCGTCCCGGTCTCTGCGTCCGCCGACTGAGCTCAGGTTTATCAGGGAGCGGAGGGAAAGCGGCGTCTGGGTGCTGCTGCCTCGGCCACGTTCCTTATTTTCCGCCGTACCCGGCGTAGCCCTGGTGGTTCCAGTCTTTACCTGCAAAGTCACCAGAAGACTTGACAGCTGGTCTGAGTGCTCCGGAGGTCACGTGGCAGGCGGGATCACGTGACAGCCCGGAGCCCGCCCGTGGAAGTCTGTTGCCCTGACGACGGCTGGCCCGCCCGGACTTCCCGGGAGAGCGCGGGCTCCCAGGAGCAGGTAGGTGAGATGCTTGTCGCCCTCTGCGACCCTGTCGATGTTTCCAGGTTGTATCTCAGGTCCGGTCTCCGAGCTTGGACGAGCGCATTACTCCACTGTTCTGCCGGGACTCCAAGTCGGATGCGTCTTTGCTTGGCGCCGGCCCCCAAATCTGCGCTTCCTGCGGACCCCAGAAGACCTGGTCTGAGGGCCCATTCGTGGGGTCCGCCTCTGCCCAAACTGTTTGTCCAACTCCTTATCCTGTGAGTTCGACCTCTGGTAGAAAATGCAAATAAATGCAGGTTGGAGCGCATACTTTACGTTCAAATCCTCCCGCACCCGTCCCTTAGAAAAGGAAACCAGCTCTGCAGGGTTAAATCCTAAAGCTGGGACCGGTAGGAAGATGGCCTCACAGAGGGCAGAGAGTCGAGCTTTAAGCTGCAGTTTGACTAGATCCCAAGGTGTTCAGGGCATTGTTTCTGTCAGCCAGGTTAGTCTGAGCTATACAGGAACTCAGGCTGTAGCCCAGGCTGGCTTCCAACTAGAGGGCCTTCTGTCCCGTAGTTGTAGCGAGTTTGGGTGTGCACCACACTAAATTCTTTATTGTATTCTGAGTCTTATAAGTTCACTTTGTTTGTGTCCAGAAACATCTCTGCTTATAGAAAGTGGATCAAACAGCATGAACTGTACTGTGCTTTACAAGAAAAAAAAAAAAAAAGTCTCTCCACTTTATGCCATATATATGTATGTATATATATAATCTGTGAGGACCTGGTTTCTGAGAGGTATTAGCAGAGACAAATACATATACTGTAGGAAATACTCTGGAACCCACCTCAGAACAATTTAATGAAATGTAATTATGGACTGTGAGAAGATACAGTTCACAAACTACCTTCCTTAGTCCGCCTCAGTGAATTAGGTAGGACTCCACTAGCATCTCGTAATTGTGATTTTATATTGTCTTGATGAGATTTTTTGAAGTTTAAAGTAGTGAGGTGTTTTTTTTTTTTTCTTCTGTTTTTGTCATGTAGTGTTTCCAGTGCTGTGAATACTTTAGGATACTTTTATGGTGACTTGAAAATTATTAACTATGGCTCACTATTCCAAAGAGCTTGATGAAGAATTTGAACAGTTCATGAAGGAGGTAAGTTCAGTCCTTCTAAAGCTTTGTTATGAAAGAGTCTCATGAGACCCATCCTTGGGCGCTGTCATCTGCAAACATAAACCACCCCATCGACAGAATATGCCCAGCATCCCTTAGTTTGTTCTCATTTCAAATGCTGGCACCTGTTAGCTCAATGCCATCACCTCACCTAGTCTTCCCCAGCAGTTCCGAGTAAATATAGCATTCCCTCCAAGGTACATGAGGCTCACACATGAAGCAGTCCCTCCATGGTACATAAGGTGCACACAACACACACACACACACAGGGGCCCTCCAAGATACAATTTAATATCTGGTTTTAGGAGAGTCGTTCAACCCACTTTTTTTAAGGTTAGCTTTTTTTAGTTATAATTAATAACCCATACAACTCACCCATTTAAAGTATGTATGATGACTGGTTGAGAATTACATAACCTTCACCATAGTCAGTTGTAGAATGCATGCATCATTCCTAAAAAGAAACCTCTTATCCTTTAACTGTTACTTTCAACTCCTTGTCCTTCCCCAGTCTTAGGCATTCACTGACTGTTTTCTGTCTCCAAGTTCGACTGTTTATAGATATAGAAATTGAACCCTATAGTATGCATGGCCTTGAAGTCTGGCTTCTTTTACTTAACACAGTGTCCTCAAGGCTTATTTATATTACAGCATGTGTTGGTATCATTTCCTTTTAGTGAGTAGGCTCCTCTTCTGTGGATATACTGCATCTTGCTTATTTTTAGTCGACAGACATGTGGGATCCTTCTACTTTGGTCATTCATGAATAATGCTGCTCTGAGTAATCATCAAGCATGAGTGCAGATGTATGTTAATCTCTCCTGGGTATTTGCCCAGAAGTGAAATTGTCTGGCCATATGCTCTGTTATTCCCACCAGCAGTGTATTCAGTTATGAAGGTTCTGATAGTCATTATCTTTCCTAATTACTATCTGAGGTCCAGGTTTTTGTTTTCATTTGATAATGATAAACTGCAAAGCAGTGTAGATTTTGAAAGTCAGAACACCTACAGTATATTTATTGGAGGGGTGGATATTCATCATTTGTCTTTCTGATCTTTGCCATAGCTCTGAATGGTCAATGGTTCTATCGCTGTATCTAGACAAAGAAACTGGGGTATAGAAAGCAAGAAATAGATTGTTTCAATGTGGTAGTAATGTTTTAAGACCAACTAGAAAGTGATTAGATACCAGAAGTTCAGATTGAAATTTTTCCTTTTCTTTTTCCCCACCTTCCCTTTTTCCTACCCAGAAAACAATCATTTCTTTTTGAGCATTGTAAAAGTTGAAACTCCATCAAGTTGTTGAATGTTCCTCGTGTTCATCAGGAGGAAATATACCATCCTAATTGGATGGCTGCATGCAATAGTGGAAAGTAGACAGCCATCAGCAATGTCCTTAGTTTGGATCCCATTGGGTATCCCTCTTCAGTAGTTGCACCTGGGGCAGTTGTTTCTCCTCCAGGTTTCAGCTTTTCAGCTGTTTGAGGTTGTTTAAAGAATGAGATAAACCAGGTGCAGATCCTGACACTGAGAAGGCATGTGATAAACATGGTTTCTTCCAGGCTGTATATGAGGGGTTATAGAATGAGAATGGAAAAGGACGAAGAACCTAGTCAACAAGAAGTCTCGTGTTGGAGAAGTGGGCTCAGGAGCCCCTAACTGTTAACTAGCTGTGTGCAAGGCCACAGAGGTGAAGAGGAGCCCAGAGAAGGACACTGCCCAATTCATTCTTAGGTAGAGCATTCCATAGGGGATCAGTTTCTGTGATGTGGTCAGTTGATGACTGACCAAAGTAGAAGGATCCCACATGTCTGTCAACTGAATTAAGCAAGATGAGCATATCCACAGGATAGCAACCTACTCACTAAAAGGAAATGATACCAAGACATGCTGTAATATAAATGTTGGCAGGCAGCGCTTAGAAAGCAGGTTCTGGAGACACAGTGCTGAGTGGGAAACTTGAGGGGAGTGGGAGAAGGAGGCTAAGGAAGTGATGATAGAGAGCTGGAGAAGCTAGGGAGCCAAGGAATGGGGAGGAAGAGTCGCCCCTCTGTGGGCTCCCTTAAGGGCCAAGGGAAAAAAAAAATGTCTTTTGAAGCGGGGAGAAGTCTCACAGGATGCGAGTTTGGAGGTGGAATAAGGAAGGAAAAGGGTGGCATTTAGTTCTTGGTTATCTCGGAAGAGGGAGACTACCTTATTGGCTAGAGGAGGGGAAGTGTTGGGATTAGAAAAGGGGGTTCAGTTGTAACTGTGTCTTTCTGGGTCTGGACTGCCTCACTCAGCATAATCTTTTCTAGTTCCATCCATTTGGATATTAGCCATAGAGTGCATACAACAAGCCATAGACCTAATGAAGCCAAGGAGGGTTCAAGGGAAGATGCTTGACTCTTACTCAAAAGAGGAAATAAAACAGACATCTAAAGTAGATAGAGGGAGGGAACTGGAGGGGAGAAGGGTGGTGGAGGGTAACAGGGGTGGGGATCAGGGTTAGGGAGAGCATCAGTGGGGAGCCAGGTGGAGGGACGAGGACTGGGAGAGAGAATAAAAATAAGAAAAGAGAAGAAGAAGGGATTCAGAATTGTAAAAAAAAAAAAAAAAATAGCTGAAGAGTAGAAAGGGACAAATAACCCATGTTTATTAATATCTGGGACAAAATGTTTATTTCTATGGCCATTGCATCTTCACCCACTGAGACTAGAATTCTGTTTTGGAGTCATTGTAATAAGTTTATTCAATTGCCATTTGTTCTTAGGCTCTAGAAAATGTCCAGAATATAGGATTTTATCATCTACTTCCTTTTCTAAACAAATATATTTATCATATTTTTTATTTTGTTATTGTACTTATCTGTTGCTGTGAAGAGACACTGTGATCACTGGAACTCCTATAAAGAAAAACTAATTGGGGCTGGCTTACAAATTGATGGATAATAATAATTAATATTCAGTCATATACTTAGTAAATATTTACTCCTTAATCAATAATTTCTCCAAATAACCACACATTGAAACTACGATTCATTCAAAGCTAAGCACCGAGCTGAGCATAATAATTAATCTATTATCTCACTATCAGTGTACTTCCTCCCACCCAAAGCCCCTGGTACTTGCATTATTATCTTTTCTGGAATATGTCCATTCTCCTCCTCTCTTGCACCTCTCTCTTTTAGTTCCCTCTTGACTTCCCCAAATCATGCCCCTCATTCCACCTCTCTCTCCCTGCTCAGCCCAGTGTCAGCAGTTTATCTTCCAATCAGGGATAATTTTGGGAGGCAAAAGTTACAGATGTCATTTTGGGTGTGTGAGTGTCTGCTCATCAAAGATAGCAAGCGACCTGGGGAACAAAACAATTAGCATTAGAATACATAGCACCAGGCCAACCCTCAACATTACAGGTTCAGGGGCTTAATACATTATCATATTGGTGGAAAACATGGTGGCATACAAGCAGACAGGGTGATAGAGAGGTAGCTGAGAGTTACTGGATCTAGATGAGCAGGAGGAGAGTGGCATTGGGCCTGGCTTGAGCATTTGGAACCTCAAAGCCTACCTGTTATTGTACCTGCTGTTAACTGGCCTCCAGTGACACACTTCTTCCAGCAAGGCCACACCTTCGAATAGTGCCACTCCCAGTGAGCCTCTGGGGGCCATTTTCATTCAGACCACCACTGTATCTTACTTGTTTAATTCCAGATATAAAATCAGTATTCAAGACATATGCTCGATTTTTAAGTTTGGCCACCTATGTCTGTGGATGGAATTTATGTATTATTTCTTAGACTGTTGTTCATGTTATAACTGAACTGTGAGAGAACCAAAGGAAAAACATTTGTAGTAATGTCTGGGATTTTGCAATTTGAAATGCATCTTGGAATGTAATAATTTCTATGTAATTCAGCTTTCAGATGATTCTTTTGAAAGTTCAAACAAAACACCTGGACAACGTAAAAGTGAAGTGAAGAATAAAGATACAGTGCCTTGGTGGATAACTGAAGATGATTTTGAAGATGATGGTAAAGCCTGAAGTTTTTGTTTTGTTTGGGTTTGTTTTAAATCGTTTGACCACAAGAGGTCAGTCAAGACTTTAGTTCTAGACTGTGTTACTACACCATTAAACTGTAAAGAAAATAATACTAATAGCATGAATCTGAGGTTTGACTTAATTTTCATCTTATTCTACTTTGCTATACAATATGTAACTAAGAGTGACTTTTTCCATTAATTTGCATTGAGATCATTTGTATGCATTCAAATTAAGGAAATAAATGAAGTGTATTTACATATCATTTATAATATAAATAGACTCGGTGGTTTAATAAAATAATCTGCCACTATACTCATGTAAACACATTAACAAATAAGTAGAATGTGGAATCTCAGTTTGCTGATAAATCATGAAAAGCAATAATTTACTTCCTCAACTGTAATGAATGCATTCAGCGTCCCTGGCATGCATTTATAGACTTCCCAGGATGTCCCTAGTCACACTTTACAAATGCAATGTGACTTTAAATGTTGCTTACATATGTAATAGGTGTGCATTGTGTGTGGTGCTGTCTGCATCTTGAAGCAACTCAGACTGTGTATGGCATTGACTTCCTGTGCGTGCTGCTGCCACAGGTACTTGTGGGTCAGGGTAGCATCTGTTTCTCCTGTCTAGGGAAAGATTTCACCATGGCTTTTATTATTCTTGTGGGATTTGTTTGTTTTTCTTTTCATTTTTCCATCCACAAGATTGAACGTAAATTCCTTAAAGTGACAGCTGAGGTTCTTCATAATCTGATGATAGCCCTCTTCTCTATCTCATGTGGCCTAGCCACACCTAGTTACTCTGTCTTCTAGAAACACCTTGGATCCTGGCCTCTATGCCTGACTTTGGAGTCCGTGCTTCCCTACCATCCTAGCTTTCCTCTCCTCTCCAAGTCCAGTAAGACTCAGTGTCCCTACTGTACACACTCCCACTGTGACCCTTCTAGAGCCCTGCTAACATGAGCTTTCTCCTTTGCGCTCAGAACACCACAGTGGCCCTTCCATATCTTGTGACACTTGTGGACTTGGGAGCTTAGTATGGATGGGAAGCACTTCTTATCCCATGTCAGCATAGATGTCACAGTTCTTAGTATTTTGTTGTTGTTTGTTTGTTTGTTTGTTTGTTTGTTTGTTTTTAAAACTGCAATACATTAAAGGAATTTCTCAGTGAAAACTTGAAGGTGAATTCCCAAGCCATACAACCTGTTTAAGTATGCCTGCCTATAAGGAATTTTTTTATAGAACCATTTTTTCCTGCTAGCATTCAAAAAAACATATCATTCATCATAGGATAAAGTACTTTGAAAATGTTGCCAAGATTTAGGACTTAATTAGCATTGAAGCCTTTTTTTTCTTCTAGAAGATACTAAATCAGAGCAGAAATATGCAAATATTCCAAAAGGAAAGACTAGCTCCTAGAATAAAAACGCTTGCCTGTAACAACTAAAATTATCAGTTTTTCTTAAAAGGATGTCAGTCCAAAGTATGTGCAGTTAGTAAAAGAAGCAGGGAAAACAAGGCAACACACAAACCATTTAGACTTCACTAGCACACAAGAAAGCTAGCTCCAGTTACATCCCACCCAGAGTGTAGCCTGCCCTGTTCCTCCCCGGATACATTTAGTGCATTCAGATTACGTTCTGTGTACCAGGCACTATCATACTCACAAGATGGGAGTTCTGCCATTGGGCAGAAGAAGCTTCTGAGAGACCTGTATACCCATCCTAAGGAGAGGTATGCATTCCCTACCACTCTTGAGCAGCTACCATTAAACATTAAAACTGAGCAAATTCTGTTAGAATGATTTTTTCTTTCAGTTGTCATAGGGTTAATGGGCTCTGCCTAGTAAATGAAACTGTGATTCTCTTGCTGGTCAGTAATTCAGTTGTCTGTGAGCTTCTGTTGTTTCTGTGGAGCCTGTTTGTCTGGGTCACATCTCTTGAGCCAAGCTTCAGAGCCAAAGTGAGAAGTTGCCATAGCAGCACCGCAACTGTGGTTCTCACTTAGTCCTCTGCAGTGTCTATGGATAGATCTTGACTTTGTATAGCTGTGTGGAAAGTGCTGCCTGATCTAGTAAGACCATTATTCACATAAAGCCATAAAAAACACCTTGATTCTGGAACCCAAGCAAGGCCAACCCAACCCAAGATTCGTGTCGAGTACATAGCTGAAGCTAACTATAACAGGAGTCAGTCATGAAACATTTTTAATATGTCCATTGTATTTTAGTTTGAAGTAAAGTATCACATTCAAAATTGTTATTAGAGACTGTGATACCATCCCCTCCCCCAACAACATTGTACATACTCTGGTGTGAGACTTTTCCATTGTGGAAAAATAATGGCTTCAAAGATGTTCTGGTGTTTTCTTGATATGTATACCAACAAGGATCTTGTCTACGCTTTGTATTTGTCCTTGACCCTACCTAACCTCCCTTGAGTTTTCTGTCCTGGTTCACATAGTCTGTTTGAACAGTGTTTCAGACAGCAAAACTGGGTAAAGGAATCCTTTGTAAATTTTAAAATGAAGGGTACTGTAATCAAACAGAATTACAGTTTTTCTTTTGTGAATTCTAGGTCTAGTTTTTTTTTTTTTATGTAGTATGACAGGTTTGTTTTGTAGACATTATGCATTAAAATAAGACAGTATCCTTATGTTGGCATTATGATCAGAACAGCTCCCTGAATATAACTACCTGTATATAAATATGAACACCAACTCAATAAGTCTTGTCCGCAGGACTTCTTGGAACACATGTAAGCTATTTGAAGACAAAGAAGACTTCTCAACGTATTATGGACACAGAAGAGGAGTCTGCTGAAAAAGTTCAATTTCTTAAGAGCAGTGGAACCTCCATCTTAAGTGTTGACAGCTTAGAAGCTAATGGTGAGAAGGGGGATGTATCAGGAAGTCACTGTTACTGTACTTGAGAAACTTGTAATGGTGGATTCAGCTAATCCTTGGCTTCCCTCACCAGATCTTATAGACGGATCATAAGATCTCCCCGGAGAATCAGAAGTATGTCTTAGAGATGAAGTCAGCCTTATGTAGATCTGCTTGGTGGGTGGGAGGTTCCCGTGCGATGTCAATAAAAGTATCACTTAGGTTTATCAAAGCTGTACATGGTAACAAAATATATTTATCATTCATTTCTCTATAGAATTGGTCATTTCTGAGCTCCATCATAGTACCCTTGGTTTGGGCTTGGACACATTAGAGGAACAAGAAGAGAAAGAGCAGTTCTTTGCCAGGCTTGAGAAAGGCTTGACATCTTCTATTGATTATTCAAAATTAAATCAAGAACTGGATTCTGATGACTCCACACAATTCAAAGCTTTACGTAGGTAAATACAATTAAAAAACATTAACTATTTTTTGTGCTTTTTTATATTTCTATGTGTGCATGAATTCTAGTAGACAAACAAACAAAATCAAACCTCATCTATTTCTTTTAATGTATGGAGGCCAGGGTTTGCTGGCATACATCTTCCTCATTTACTCCCCAGCTTACTTTCTGAAACAGCATCTTCAGGGAACCTGGGGATTACCAGTTCAGCTAGAAAGGCTGCCCATCAAACTTCAGGGATCTGCCTGTCTCCAGCCCCCACCACTGAGATTACGTGCACACAGCACTGTGCATTGCTTTTTGTGTAGTTTCCAAGGATATGAAATCAGGTCATTTTTGCTTATCTGGCAAGCATTTTACCAACTGAGCCATTTCTATACCTTAAATTTTATCTTTAGAACTATGTTCTGTATTCATGATAGTCAGGGTTTTTCTTGTGTATGGGTGAAGTATGTTGCTATGTAGTTAAATCTCCATTCTGCCTTTAGATACCTGAAATTTCATACCTAAAATACTATCAAAACTGCCAAGTCCTTCCTAGGAAAGAAAATTGTTTTCTGTGGACAAGGAAAATAAAATCCCAGATTACTATTATAAACTTGGATTTAAAAACAATTTTTTTTTTTAAAGGAAGCAAAGACCAGTTTGGTTTAAGTGTTACCTCTGTGCATGGTAACTCTCTTGGTTATAAGGAACCTCATTTATTTAGAAATTCTGGTTGACTGAGAGGGCCACTTCTGAGCATAGGTGACCATTGCCATTTTCCAGTGTTTGCTAAGGTCTTTAATTTCCTTAAGTTATATATCCATGTAGTAATTCTTCTTTTTACAAAGGAAAATTGGGCTTTTTAAGGTTTTAAGAACACAGAGGTAGAAGTTGAAAGAGTTGGGAGAGTCATGGTATGTGGATGACTATAGCCGATTCTCAAGATGCCTGATACAGAGCTACAGTATTACCTGAACTGGCATGGACTGTGGGGTTCTGAGACAGTAGTGTACTTGCAGTCTTCCAGTGCTGTAGACAGTGACAGTTAACAGGAGTCCTCAGTCAGAAGCAATGGACTCTGTTTCTCACAACTGTACCAGTACCCAGTTTAAAGCCCTGTCTCTAGTTACTTTTCTGTTGCTATGATGGTTTAAACACTGCAACCAAGCAACTTATAAAAGAAAGACTTTACATGGGGCTTAGTAATTTCAGAGGATCAGAGTCCATGATGATAGAGCAAAGGCTTGGCAACAGGAGCACCTAAGAGCTCACATCTAAATCCACAGGCTGAGAATGCTAACTGGGGATGCTGAGCTTTTGAGACCTTAAACACAGTGACACACCTTTTCCAACAAGGCCACACCCACTAGTGCTTCCCAAATAGTTCCACCAACTGAGGAACAAGTATTCAAATGTATGAACCTATGGAAGCTGTTCTCATCCAAAACACTGCAGGCCCCTGTGTGGCTTCCATTAAGAGTCCATTGGCATATCAATGTTGATCTCGTTTTGTGGAGTTTTGTTGTTGTTTTGGCCTTCCTGTAAGTTTACTTAATTCTCCTCATAGCTCGTAATGCCTAAACTCTAGTGAAGAAGAGGTACTTACTTCATGGGATAATGTGCATACCTATTCATGCACACACATAGAAAAGCATGTGTGTTTGTATTTAAGAAAACTGGCATTTTCTTTTTATTATTTGTGCTGATCCAAAGTAATTTTTAAGCTTTAATAATTTTTTTTGTTTTCAAAACATTTTCCTTCTATTAATCCCAATTTTTAGCTTTGTTAAGAACTTGGTAGAACCATAATACTTAAGGTGTAACTTTAGAAAATTTAAAACACATAATGTAATATATAGTGTATGAATATACATTAGCCTATAATAGGACGTGTTAAATGTTTTTCCAGCTACCCAGCTAGTGTAGAAGAAGCAGCTGACGATAAATATGAGAATGAAGCAGAGCATGAGGAACTACCAGGTAACTTCACTGAAAGATAACACAACTCATAGTATAAACGTTGATAAGAACAGGGCTGAAAGGTAAACCACATTGTCTTAGAAAGTGCTCTTTAACATGAAGTCTTGCTTTATAGTGTTGCCTGGCCTTGAACTTTTTCTATAAAGCAGGCTAGCCTTAACCTCACTATGTAGACCAGGCTGACCTTCAGTTCAGGGATCCTGTTGTTTTTGCCAGGTGCTGGTATTGAAAGTGTGTATGCTTTTCATTTACTTAAAATGGTTTGACCTAGCTGGGCTATGCTTTTCTGACTAACAAGTTTGCCCCTGGTGTGTAATTGATGAGCGTCTACCTTTTACAAATGTTGTTTACATTTGTAAAAACAAGGTTGTAAACCTTGTTTTTGTTTTTAGATTTTTTGGCATAAAAATGTTGCTATAAAGCCCAACCATGATGTGCCATGAACTCACATCAGTCCTTCTGCCTCAGCTTCTTGAGTCCTGGGGTTACACACCCAGCTTGTTTTATTGTTTTTGTTCTGCATTCTCCTGGTTTACTTAGAGAATTCTGTTCTGTTCCCTCTTTGGGCTCTTTGGGTAAACCTTTTGGTTGTTTGTTTGTTTGTTTGTTTGTTTGTTTTTTAATTGCTACAAATCGGACAAATGTTTGCCTTCTGAGAGTATGTTTAAATAATATTCTAACATCAAAGACCCCCTCCAAATGCCTATTTTTAGGTATTTCTTGTTCCACTGTATGTTGTTACTTCAAGGAATGTAAAGTCTATTTTTGTAAAGACATGTGCTGGTCCTCTGCTTTTAGTCAGTTCCTGTGCTCTGTACTCCTGTGCAGTGGCTTCTCAGCATGAAGAATCCTCTAAGCCATCTAGTTCAGGCTGCTGTTAAAAATAAAGTCTCCTAGCTTTACCTGTTTGAAAATATACGTTACCTTCATTATTATAGAATGTACTCAGCTCCTCCTTCCAAATGGGAAAATTGCTAAATGTGTGTTATTCCAAATTGCACTCTGATATTTCCATTTAGTAACTGAACAAATTATACGAAAATATTACCATATAACATGAAATACCAGCTTCCTTGCTAGGAATCTGTAACAAATAGAGTTGGTGCGAAATAAGAAGGAAATGTAATTGGGTCAGTCTCCAGTCTCAGCAGCCATGGCCAACACTATGAGAGCTAATCTGTAGTACTCTAACCACTTCAGCAGAGGATATTTTACATTCAAAATATTCTCTTTGCTTAACTTCAAAGTTATAATTTTAAAAACAAGAATGTGTTCATAAAATTCAGATACAATAAAACCATAGACAATTAAAGGTCTAACTGCTCCTTTTTGGGGGCACTTCCTAGCCTTTATTGGCAAATTTATCTGTAAACTCTGAGTAAAATGCAATCTGAAAAACCTTCTCCAGCACCTGTAGTGAGGAACCCAGGGGCATTTGGACATTTGGACAAGGGATGACCATATACAAAATTGTGACAAACTATAAAACGACACAGAAAAGATACTTCAAGCAGGATGAGTACAAGAAAGGCAGCCTTAGATGGTCACAATCAAGAAGTTAAAATACAGATGTAAAGAGAAAAGGCCCTCGTTCATTTTAACGCTGCAAAAGAAAGAGAAGGAAAAAGTGATGTGTGGCTTCATTAACTTTTAATGTAAATTAAGCAAAACTGGCTATCATACTATCACACATCATATTTGGCTCATAGATTGTACACGTTATAGTAGGAGTGTTCCTTAAATACTACTTAACTTTCAGATCTCAGAGTTCCTTGAGATAATTACTGTTAATCACTCTATGGATAAGGAAAGTGAGGACAATTTTGAAGCTGGAAGTAGTGGAATAAAGAATTGAATTTAGGCCTCTGGTTCCAGGTCACTCTCTTCAGCACTGTTACCGTGCTTTTACATACTACCTCTGTATGCTGACACCATAGCTTTTTCCATACTGAGAAAGGGTTCCTCCCCTTCACTGCACTGATCTCAACCAGTCTCTTGATTTAAAAACAATAAACAACTTAAAAATCGATGAAAGAGATGTTGGCCAAATAACTGCTTCCTCACCTCCATCATGAATAGACAGAAGAGACTGATTAACTCAGAGATACATTTCCTTCCACTGCAAAGACACTGAGATATAATCTAGGAGCTTTACACCAAGAATTGTCTAGGACTGGAGAACAGCAGAAGTCATAGGGCCTATTTATGTAAAGCACATGACAAAGTACAGAAAATAAAATAAACCCAGCATAGTCTTCATTTTAAATTGAACCCATTCATTAAAAAAAAAAAAAAAACAAAGATCTTGGGAGGCCCCTTCATGCTGACACCTCAGTGGCTTGTACTTGGAGAAACCTTCTTTGTAAGCCAAAGAATTTTTTTGGAATTTGACCTTGCCAGTGTGATCCTTCTCTTTCTAACAATAATTTCCTTCAGAAACATACAGTGATGATTTTGAAGATGCGGAAGATGTTGGTTCACCTTTGGTTACTAAAGATGAAGAGACCCATTCCGAAGAAAAGTCTGAGTCAAGAAAAGTGAACGTTCCCAAACAGGTATGTATCAGTTGTCCTGCAACAGTTTTCTTTCTGACTACTTTCATCAGCACGGCTCACGCGCCATATGAAGACCTGAGATACAGAGTTCTTCATGGCTTTGCTCATTGTTAACTTAGCAAGTTTCAGGGTGTCAGTATAAATTAGACAATTGTGACAGTTGATATTCTATTTATACAGGATGACTTTTTCTGTATAGTTTTCTTAAGGTAAGCTTAAGAACAATTAAATGTTAGTGCTACTTTTCGATTGGTCTACGAACTGACATTGTAGTAATACCCATACTTATGAAAGGCCAAAAATGCCCCTTATCAGCCAGGCAGTGTTAGTGTCTGGAGCTCATGTAATTAAGATAAGGGAGCACGCTGCTCTGTTCACATCTAGGCTGCTTCTCTCCAGTTCTGCGATTCCTCAGTTCTTACCAAGATGTGTTAGGGCTACTGTTGAATATTACCTATGTACTATAATTTATAATTTAAGCTATATAATAGTAATTAGTTGGATTGTTCCTATTTATTATTTTGGTTTTTATCTGGACACTTTTGGGGGACTGTTAGGGCAAGATGTTTTAAACATGTATAAAGCTGTATATTCTCTAAATAGAAATACTTTGAGGTTATATATAAATTCTTTCATTTTTTTATTTATTCAGTACATTCCTTGAATATATATATATAGAGAGAGAGTATATATAAATAAAATCACTCAATTTTTTATATATTTATTGATATATCGCTTATCACATAATGCTCATATCACATATATATCACATATCTCAATATGTGTATATTGAGATATATGTCACTCATATCACATATATTAATATATACATTTCAATATATATGTATACATCTCAATATGTATGTACATTGAGATGTGTGTGTATATATATATGTATATATATATAATATATATATAATATATATATTATATATATATATATATCACTCAGTTTGTAAGAGGCAAGATGACCTGTAAATTAAGAAAAATTAAGGTGACCTCATGAAACCTAGAAATTTAGTGCTATTTATTTTTGAAATTTGGCAGTCTTAGTATTTTGTGAATAAAGCATTAGTTTTAATAAAAGGCATGCTGATAGCACTTATCAAGAAAATAAGCTGTACGTACTAATATGGAACCCTCCTAGGTAGCTGAGTAAGAATCAACATAATAAATTTAAAGTTTCAACTGTAGGAAACCCTACACTCTGCCTAGCCTAGACGGGAATCAAGGACATGCTACTTAAAAGATTTGCTATATTTTAGTATTTGGAAGCATTCCTGTCTGAAGTTATGTCCTTCAAACTGTAGAAGAAATGGGGAAATGGATGTATATTTGATAATTAATTTTTGCACAGTTGATTGATTAATAATGTTATAATTGTAGGCTCCTGTATGAAATAGCCTTGTTACTTTGGTATTTAAAAAAGAGAAAGAAAGAAAAGCAAAATTTTTGAGCAAAGTAGATGAGCTCTTAGCCTCTAGGTACTTCGAGCAAAGCTTTTTAGACATAAAATAGTTTTGGTAATTGCCCAGGTTTAGAAGAGACATGGAGAAGTTCCTACAAAGCTGTGACTCAGATAAGTGTTGGTGAAGGAATCTAGAAAACATAATTTCTGATCTTCTAGCTCCTGCTTCTCAGAGCTCTGTCCATTTTGTGGTCAGTTTGTAAGTTTGCTTTCAGAACATGTAATTTTCTTCCTCTAATATAGGAGGAAGAGAAAACTGGCATGCTGGCTAATGGTAAGTATTAATTGGCAAGTAATTAAGACCGTTCAAAAATCTCATCTAAATAATTTTGAATAAAATGTCTTTATTTTTAAATCTCTCTCTAAGGAATTAAATTTCATAGATTTATTTAAATTTCATAAATTTCTTAATCATGTATCCTTAGTCCTGTCTTGTCCCCATCCTGTTATATTTGAAATATTTCCTTTTCTGTTTTTCTCTAGCCTTTTTTACCTTCTACATAAATGTATAGATACATGGAATCACTTATTGCATTTTGATGTTAACCTGTTATCTTGTATATACCATGAAAAATCCTGTTTGTGGAAACACACACATGATTACGCACTTATACTACATTTATATGTAAACACTTGTTTTTTTAACCATTACATGTGATTAATTTTACTAGACCAAATGTCAAACAAAGTTTCCTACACTCGGTTGTTTTTCTTTTATATTCCTGCAGTTGTGCTTCTTGATTCTTTAGACTCTGTTGAGGATGTTGAGCTTGCTGATCAAGAGAAAGCAACCCCTAAAGTTAAGGCCCTCCCAGAAATGACAAATGGTGAACTAGCGGGAACAGGTAAAGTATGTGGAAATTTGAGTCTTCTCTAGCTACAGAATGCTCTGTGAGCAACTAGCTTCATTTCAAGGAAAATACATGAAATAACCATCTGGATATTAGAGACATTTAGTCTCATAGCAAGAGTTGTCAATACAAGGGGAGCACTGTAGGTGAGGGCTAAGCCGTTGTCATGCCCATCCGCTGTTTTGTGTCCATCACAATATATATATATATATATATATATATATATGTAAAGTGTAATATATTCTTGTATGTAAAGTGTAATATATTCTTGATTTCCCACGTTGGGACCTTTTAAACCATCTTGCTATGGGGTGGGGATCTTTAACCCTGTTTCCTCCTCTTTAAGATAATGTGATAATGGTCAGCAAATGTGGATACAGCATAGTGGCTCAGTGAGATGGCTCAGCAGGTAAAAGTTCTTGCTGTGCAAGTCTGATGACCTGAGTTCAGTTCTCCAAATCCATGTAAAGGTAGGAAAGAACTGACTCCACATAGTTGTCCTTTGACCTCTATATACAAGCTGTTGCATACATGTGGCATGTGTTTATACACACACACACACACACAAATATGCAATACATAGCAATCACACATGGTTATTATCATCACTGGTAGTCTTCAGTTAATAATTGAAGCTGCAATACAGCACTCAAAGCATATAGTATAAACAGTTGATGTCTGTGGGGTCTTGTGTTTATCTAGAGTTCCTAAGGTACATTTGAAGGACATCTTAAAGTACAGTCATAGGTGAGCGTCTGAATTTGGTATAAAAATGGAAAGGCTCAGTGACTTTCTGTTTTGTTTTACCATGTTTCTACGAGTGATAAGCAGCCTGGGTAGGTAACCTGTCAAAGCAGTCTTTTATTAGCATCATAAAATTCTTTGCTAGGCTGTATTACAAAGGTTAGTAAATAGAAAAGTGGGGTTTGCTAATAAGGCTATATTATTTATATTCATTTGTACTTGTCTCCCAGACAGGTGTCATAGTCTTGTGTCTGATGCATGGCTGGAGTAGTCATCACAGGATGGCTGTTGTTCTGTGAGACAAGGCCTTTTCTCTCCAGTGGCAGTTGATAACTTTCTGTAGTTGAGAGCATAGGAAACTTTGGTCTTGTACAAAGTGACTACGTGGAGTAAGGCAGAGAAGTAAGCCTTCTTACTTACATAAAGTCCATCAAGCGTGGTCATTTTGCATTATTGTGGGATGGCTTAATTTGCTTTGACTTGACAAAGAACCTTTCCCCCCTCTGTTTCCAAGCAGCCTTCCTTGCAATCTCTAGTTTGTAACTTTTAGGTCATTTCTTTTTCTGCACATCTAGTTCTTTGCTGCTCTAAGGCAGTGGTTCTCAACCTTCCTAATGCTGCGACATTCTAATACAGTTTCTTGTATTGTGGTGTTCCCCAACAATAAAATTACTCCATTGTTATTTCACAACTGTAATTTTGCTACTGTTAGGAATCATAATGTAAATAATCTAATATGTAGTGTATCTGATATGTAACCCCTGTGAAAGAATCTTTGGCCTTAAAGGGTTAAGACCCACGATTGAGAACCTTTGCTCTAAGGCCTGCAGCTTTCTTCCCACCCTTCACACCTACTAAACAGTATGAAGGTTCAGTGCTGCAGTGCAGTCACTCAGCATTCAGATCTTTCTGTAATGTACTCAGCATCTCATGCAGTGTCTTCATATTTTTATAGAAAAAAGAAAGCACTTTTATGCCTTTTCTTTTTTTCATTAAAATTACTTCTTCAGTTGTTCCCCCCTGTGTGACTTTGGTGGGGTCAGGTAGGTTGCTTCAGTGTAAGAGATGGCAGGGCAGACCTTTCCCCCAGATTGTCTTCAAACAACTCGGCTCTTTAGCTGTTGGAAACTCTGCTCTAATAGTATCCTCCACTTTCAGGCTTTTAGTTTATTTAAGATGTTTGCTGTTCAGTATGTGTATTCTAGTCTTGGTGAGCTCTAGCATGAGCTAGAAAGAAACCTCACTGTTAAGCATTACTACACACACCTCCATGATGTTCAGCAAGTCCTACTTTTAGTGTCGGGGGAAAACATCTCCTTACAAGCTGTGCTCTCTACAGTTTCTGTTGTGTATAGAACATGAGATTATATAAACCATTTCATTTTTAAGTGCTAATTAACCATATCAGCTTTAAGCATTAATTAACTATAAATGTCAAAAGAAAAGAAAAATAGTTACCCTATTTATATTTTTTTCCATTATATGGCTTATTCTTTACTTTTGAAAAAAGCCACTGTTAAAATTAGAAAATATTCCTAAAAATATTGGGTCATTATTTTCATTAGTTTTCCCCAAAATTTGTCAGCTGTTGGGAGGAAGGTACTAGAGCAGGAAGAGTAAAAGGTGATTATCAAGGTTTCTGTTTTTGTGACTGAGTAAATAATGGTACCATTAGCTAAAAATAGGCAATACTGGTAGCAAAACAAGTTTTGGTGAGGACTGTAATTAGGTTAGGAGCATACAACTGATTGACTTTACAGAACAGTGCAAATGTCTTTTAGAGAGTTTGGTGTTCGCAAAAGTGATGAGAACAGAAATGTATATTTGGGGATAATGAAGCAGGCATGTAGTTAAGGCTAATAGATTTGGGAATAATGAAACAGGCATGTAGATAAGGCTAATAGATTTGGGAATGAGGAAACAGGCATGTAGTTAAGGCTAAGTGCCTTATAAAATTAGCTGGGGGCTGCAAATACAACTTAGTTGCAGTGCCTGAATGGTATCATAAGGCTCTGGGTTCAGTGCTTTGTAAAACAAGTGTGAATGGTGCATGCCTGTAATCCAACACTTGATCAGAAGTTCAAAGTCATCCTCAGCTGTGTAGCAAGCTTGAGGCCAGCTTGGGCTACATGAGACCCTTTCTCAAAAAATGAAGGGGTAAGGATCTAGAGACATGGCTTAGAGGGGAAAGGTGCTTGTCATGCAAGCCTGGTGGCCTGATCTCTAGAACCAACATAGGTAGACAGAACCAACTCAAATGTTGTCCTTTGTATCTATATACACACCATATACATGTGTGCTTTGTATTTATATGCACACATATACATCCAATAATAATGATACACAATTCAAAACAGAGGAAAGGATAAAGGGCAGGAAAAAGGGAAGAATTAATTAGGGTTTTAAAAGTATTCAGAGATTTTTAAAAGAACTAGAGTTAGGCCGCTTGATGGGCCATTAATGAATGAAAACTGGAAAAGCATTGACTGGAGTGGTAGGAATTCCAAGAAGAAGAAAAAGGTGTAAAAGAAACAATGGCCAGGTAAAGGACAATGTCAGGTGTCTCACAAGCTCAGAAAGGACCCATGACTAGACTTGGCTATTCAGAAACAGCTTTGAGTCACAACTGCTTAACAAGGTGTTGGAATACTTGGTGGTTTGCAGAGTTACAGGAACATGCTTATAATAGAACTGTTACAGAGTGAGCCGGTACAACACAGCAGAGTGAGAAGAGTATGAGAGAATAGTGGTGATAAGACAAGGGCAGGATCCTTCCAAGGAATGTGTCCATGTAGAAAGTGTGCAAATATTTTACCCAGCACAGAGAGGTTGGTTAAGAGAAGGCATTGACTGATAAAGTCAGACTTTACAAGTACATCAGGACCTGTCGCGACTTGCTCTGACTTCGTACTGATAGCTCACCCAGGATTCTGCTCGACTCCGCTTTTATGGTATTGCCATTGTCCTGTAGCCTTGTTTACCATTCATAAGAGACTAAGGAATGACTTCAGTGTTTTGTCTATCAGGAGGTGGTGCTCAAGAATGTTATTTATTTTATCAGGTGTTTTGTATGGACAAAGCAGTGGTGATACTGAAGCCCTGCATCAGGCTTACTGTCACATAGCTCATTCTCTGGGAGATACAAGTGAACCAAGAATTGAGGCTACCACTGTGGAAAATGTCGTGAGCTTAGTAAAAGAACGGCTTCAAGAAAAAGAAGAGTCTTCAAAGAACATCTCTACCGCCGAATCTGGTAAAGGCTGACAGATTTAGGAGATGGTGATAGATGAAAAGTGAATGGACAGAATTTCTCTACTATGTATCCTCTCTAAATAGTGCCCATTGAAGAAGAATTCATGTGGTGATGACTTCTCAGTGCTTGGATGGAAAGGACATGATTAAATGACACCCCACCTGGATCATCTCCAAAGTTAGAGCTGAACAAAGAATGCAGCTCACATCCTAATGTGCCTTGACCAAATTAAGCAACAAACTTAGCATACATATATATGTGTATTAATAGAGAAGACTATTTTGAAATTGAAAAATACATAGAAAGTATGTATGTGAGGTCTGGGTATAAGTAATAGAGATGTATTTTATAAGTTCAAAGAAAGGGCTCCTGGTATAATTTTGTGATACACACTTAGTTTATTGCACATGCCATTTTGTTAACTATATGAAGTAGAAAAAAATGATTTTGGTGGTATTCAGTGTGTAAATTAAGCAATTTAGGCATTATTTTTGGTCTCTGGTTTAATTTTCCTCCCCTCTTAGATCTGCCCACAGTAGAGGAGCTGATGAAACCTATCAGGATAGATTCCTATGGGATCAGTGGCTTTGAGCTTCAGCCTATCAGGTATGAGGTTTGAGCAGTGCCCTGTGCAGGACGGGTACTCAGCTGAGTGGTGTTTACTGTTTTGCTTCTTGTTTTGTCACAGGGAACTTATAGCCATCTGTTCTGTGGAACCATTCTTAGTAAATGATTAATGAAAAATACAAGCTTACATGTGTCTACCCATGAGCCACTGCTGTCTCCATCAAAAATCTCCTCGTACTAAGAGAAAAAGAGCTACTGAGAATATTGGTGCCATTAATTAGTCCTAATGTTTTCACTGAAAATAAGATTCCTCATCTTTCAGTGGCACATGGATAGTTGATTCACCATAACGGGGAAATTAATGGTATTTTTATATGAATAATCGGTTTTCTGCTTTATGAATCAGTCAGTTCTGACTAAGTCACCAGCTGGCCTCTGTCTCACAGGGCAAGCTCTGAGGTCGTAAGAGAAGTAGGCTTTATGGAAGTCCTCCAGCTCAGTGTTTAGGGCAGTGTATGCAGGGCTGTAGCATTCCTCAGGACACTGACAGCTACAGTAACCTGATGCAAATATCTTTGCATTCGTGTAGCATTTTCAGTATCATATCCTCTTCCTCACATCCTTACTACATATGGGAAGACATCTTCAGACTCCTCTCTCAAAGGGACTCTGAATTAACCAGATGGTGCTGACACTTAACATACATCGCATGCTAATAGTAGACAAGAGCCACACATTCTTACATGCCTTGATTCAGCCCTTCAGCAGCTCTGAATATAGTCCTTTGCTTTCCATAGTACACAGACAAGAAAACTGAGGTTGAAAGTTAAAATAATTGTCCAAGATAGTATGTCTGTACAGTCAGCCCATGTGTTTAGCCACTTGCATCAAGTCACGATAGCACTTGTGTTTCCAGTTACGTTTTGAGTCCCTACTTTTAGCATGTTCTTATTGGGGAAATCTGCTTGTGATTTCTTGGCCTTGTTCCACACTTAATGTAGGTGAGAGGAAAATGACACAGTGAAGCTTAGGCTAAAATCTCCCCCTCAAATGCTGAGTGCTCTTACAGCCATCTGTGCTAATAAGCATCAGTAGAGAGGGGCCTGCACACTCATCGATGTCAGTGTTGCTGGGGTTTCTTAGACATCATGTAAATTATTTTAATGATGTGAATTCTAAAACATACATATTCGTTTAAATATTGAGGACAAACAGCTTTTCTGGAGTAGTCCCTTCTTTTGGTTATTCGAGGTATATACTCATGAAGGAATTGCCAGCTCACAGAGGAATGTGCTTTTACCCCTTGTAATGAACTGGAACAGTGCTTTTCACAGCAGCACTGCTGTTTGACATTTCCAGCAGGACTGCACAAGAGTGCTAATCCCTCCACCCTCTCCACTACCTGTTGTTTCTGGTAACCATTGTAATGGAATGTTGAGGATTGTCTTGGTAAGGGTTAGTATTGCTATGCTGAAGCACCATGACCAAAAGCAACCTGGGGAGAAAAGGATTTATTCAGCTTACACTTCCGTATTGTTGTTCATTATTGAAAGTCAGGACAGGAACTCAAACAGGGCAAGAACCTTAAGTCAGGAGCCAGTGGAGAGGCCATGGAGGAGTGCTGCTTACATGGCATGCCCAGCTTGCCTTCTTATAGAACTGAGGACCACCAGCACTGAGATGGCACCATTCACATCATCCATCAATCATTAAGAAGGTTCCATACAAGGCTTGCCTACAGCCCCATCTTATAGAAGCATTTTTTTAATTGAGGTCCTTCCTCTCAGATGACTTTAGCTTGTGTCACGTTGGCATAAAACTGTACAGCACAAGGATGTTGTGCAAAGGAAGTGAGACAGCCATGAAAAAACGAACACATATGCTCCAAACTATATGACATAGTTGAAAATCATAGGAAAAAGAGAAGAAAGGCAGGAGCTGCAGCAGTAGAATGGCAGTGGTTTAGTGGGAATGTAGTGGGTCTTTGATGCTTGTGGAGTTTCAGCTTCACAAAATCGGTATAGGGGTGGACACAGTAAAGTTTGTTCAACATTGTAAGCATGTTGTACCACTGAAATGTTAGTTTATGTTAACTATGTATACTACAAGAAAAAATAAGAGAATAAACAAACAAGCAAAAAGAACCTGAAGACAAATATAGTTACATGATCCAGGGAACAATAATTTTAGAAATGTCAGTAATACAGCCATTAGCACATTTAAAACTTTCAGTGATCATCAGTTATCTCTCATTCACACCTGGGTCAGTGAGGCTGCACAGGCTCTCCTCTATGTAGGCTTTTAGTGCCCAGTCTTCTGTCTTTGAGGCTATAGTGTCATCTAGCAAGTAAATAAGTGGCTTGTCACTTTAACTTGCGTTATGTTAGGACCAGCACTTGGGAAACTAGTCCAAGGAAGGTGGAAAGTGATTTGCTTGTGTGCCTAGAAAGAAAAGCAAATTGGTTTGGCAGTGTCTTACTAGCGCCCTCCTGATAACCAGATGGCCGATGGCTAACATTTTGAGTCTCCTGGAACTAGAGCTATAGGCAGTCGTGAGTCACTGTGTGGGTGCTGGGAACAGAAACCAGGTCCTCTACAAGAGCAGCAATGCTCTTAACCACAGAGCCACCTCCATTTTTAATGCTATCTAATTTTTTCAGTTCATTAAATGGTTTAATTTTAAATTCTGGTGATTTTTCTGTTTTATTTTTAATTTTCCTATGCTTTGGTTATTTTTATGCATTTTTTAGTGTTTATACTCCTTGATTCCTTGTTATAAATTATAGTCACTTTATAGAGTCTTTTACAGAGATTTATTAAAAAAAATTTCCCTACTCAAATACATGTTGATTTAATAAGAAATTATGAATAAAAATTATTGTGCTGCATTAAAATCATTTGAAATTAGTCAGGCGTAAGGCACATGTTTGTGATCTGAGCACTCAGAGGTGGAGTCAGCAGGATCCGGAGTTCAGAGCTGCCCTCTATTAAAATGTGCATTAGAGGCTGGCCTGGGCTATGTGACACCCTGCCTCAAAGAGCAGGAAGAAGTATAAACAGTCAACGTGATAACCTGTGGGTGTCCTTGGCTCACTGTTGTGCTGTGTTGTGATGACATGTTTAACACTCTATGTTCATTTGAATAACAGCTCGTGTATGTACAGATGTGGGTGGATACCTGAAGAACTTGAGGAATTATGCCTCATGCAATCTATACTGTGCGCTGCTTTGTTTTCTAGCCTGAAGAAAGCATCCGACAGCAAAGAAGGGGAATCTGTAAGCTCTTTACTGTTGAAGATGAACACAAACACTATCTCGCAAGACCCCAGGCAGGCGAGCCAGTTTCCCCACAAACATGATGAAAGTGTGGGTTTACACAAGACAGCAGGTGAGAGCACACACAGCAGCTGTCCAGCTGCTACGGAAGAACATTTGGACAAAATGTACCTTGAGATTTTGAGGAAGAAAACATCTTCGCTATTACCTCAGGATGACAAAACTAACCAGGTAAGAAGTATGTGCTTGGGTTAGCAGGGCTGATGACATCATTTGTGGGTGATGTCATTCCTGTGGGTAGGACTTACTAACAGAACTTCCATTCTCCAAGTTCAAAGTACCACCAAAGTAGCATTTACTTTCTTCTGGAAGTACTTCCTTACACTTCTCTCTTGCTTTTTCTTTTCTTTTTCATTCTTTTTAATAACTACTCTAGGACTTGGAGAATTTCAGAAAATAGTCTCTGCATCCCAGTGTTGCTCATGGCTCATCTTCCTCATAAGTCTGCACTACTGCACTACAGGAGAGTTGGCATTTTACAGGATTGTGATTAGCAACTGTGACAAAATTCACATGTCATTGTGCCTTCTTTCTGTTCTTATCTTTCCACTTTAGAGCTCCCATGGTTCTAGTATTGTATTTCACTTTTTGATTTTGTGTTTTGTATAAAGCATCTCATTTCTGTGGAGTGAGGCAAGGTGTTGTGTTAGTTTCTTTATTGTTACTGTGATAAAACACTCTGGGGAAAAAGTGATGGGGGGAAAAAGTGGTTGTTGGATCACAGTTTAAAGTGCGGCCAGTCATGATGGGAAAGTCAAGGCAGCAGAGATGAAGGAAGAACAGAGCAATGAGTCCCATATGCAACACAGTCGCTTTCGCCTTCTGTGTATCCCGGGATCCCGGTCATAGAATGGTGAGCATCCTCATCACAGTCAGGATAAATCTCGCTCCCTGGCCCATCTCTAGCTAGACTGCCAGGTTGACAGTTCACTAGCCATCACAAGTATGGATGTTCTTAATGTACCTTAAATCCAGAGAAAAGAAAGAAGTTATTTTGGTTGTCATTTCAAAATATCTTCCTCCTTGATGTCTTCATTATTCTAGTAGCCACACACACACAAGCTTATTTTGCTTTATTAATTTGAAGTACTTTGTCTTAATGCTAACTTTGAAGATAGGCTTCAAAACACTGAAAATCTAATGAATTATGGAACTTTGCTGTAGCAGTTTGCCCTTCACAAACCACATTATTTGCCAATCACAATCTTGCCATTTGATAAATTTTCATTTAACAGTAGTTGAAGTTCATTCCGGTACTAAAGAGTTTAAACTTGTTGTGTGCAGACCCCCAGGCCGAGGCTCAGTGCTGGGGAAGAGGGACCTGTGGCTGGTAAACAGGTTTTATATAAGAAGACCAGAAGTGCACCTCCTTTGCTTAAGAGAAAGCCACAAAGTGGACTGTATATGTCAGCTCGGAGCTCAGGCTACGGCAAACCCAGTCCACCACTCCAATTATTCTCTGCTCTTGAAAAGAAAACTCCAAAGGACAATACAAAAAGTAAAACTGTGAGATCCATTCCCACTTCAAATCAGTTTCGAAAGAAAGGTAAGAATATATTCTTTTCAAGACAGAGTTAGATACATATAGTGCATTATTTAATTTTCTTTGTTTCTGTGGAGAAGAGTAGTGAAGAACTGTATATTCCTTTTTGGTAAGTTTAGTTTACAGATTTTTAGAGGATATTAGCAGTGAAGACAGTGAAAAGTGGTTGAAGAAAATATGTTTAAAGTAGAATTGGTAAAACTGATTTGGAGCTGGGCATGGTGGTACATACCTTCAATCTTAGCACTCTGGAGGCAGAGGCAGGAGGATCTCTGTGAGTTCAAGGCCTGCCTGGTCTACAAAGCAAGTCCAGGACAGCCAGTGCTACACAAAGACAAAAAAAAAAAAAAACCTGGTTTAGGTCACTTATTTTGCAACTGAAGATATTTTAAGCTGAAAGGAAGGAAGCCCAGAAATTTAGTTTTGAGATGACATTTTTGGCTTATAAGCAGGAATGAGAAGGCAGTTAGATTGAAAGTCTAGAGTTCAAGAGGAAGTATAGACTCAAGATACCATTTGGGAGTTTATTAAAAGCCAAAAAAAGTTATTTTTTTTTAAGCCATGACACTCACTGAGCATGAGGATGTTCTAGTTAGTTACCTCTTTCTTTTATTATGGTATGCCACCATGACCAAAAACAGCTTGGGGAAGGAAGGATTTGTTTTAGCTTACAAGCTTCAGTCCATCTGTGTGGGAATCCTAGGTAGGGGCTTGAAGCAGAAACCCAGAGGAATGCTGCTTATTGACTTGGTTATCCTGGCTTGCTCAGCTACCTTCCTAGTACAGCCCAGGGCCCCCTGCCTAGGGGTCACAACATACATAGTAGACCCTCCTACTTCCGTTAGCAGTCAAGAAAATGCTCCCACAGACATACCACCCACAGGCCAGTCTAATGGAAGCACTTCCTCAGTTGACGTTCCCTCTTTCCCCGTGACCCTTAAGTTTGTGTCAAGTGGACACCTGAAGCTATGACAGGACAACTAGAGAGTAAACACAAACGGACTCACTATAGGAGATCAGAGAGAACTATAGGAGATCAGAGGCATCTGCAAAGCAGGCAGAGTGAAGCAGGAGGAACCTTGACAGAATCTTTAGTCTAGAGAAGTAAAATCTCAAGGAGGGTCTGTTCTGCCATTTGCTGCCCCCAGGAGAAGAAACAGGACTGAGAACTGCCCTTCAGTTTTAGCAAGCAGGTGGTCATCAGCAATGTAGATAGGTCAATTTCTTGGCAAAGCTAAATGTGCAAAGCAGATTGAATGGGAGTAGGAGAGGATAGGGATGGAATTAGTGTTCCAAGCAATAGAACCTTTTGGAGGAGGACAGAAGACAGCAGCGATAGCTGACTTGGGAGGAGGAGTTAAGTTGAGGGCCAGCACAATAGCACTGTGGATAAAGGTGTTTTCCACTCCAGACTAGCAACCTGAGTTAGTCCTAGAACCCACGTGAATGTGAAGGCTAGAAATTACTCCTAAAGTTTATCCTCTGACCTCTCTAGCTCCACACACATCATACACTTATTGTACACACACAATATTAAGTAAATATTTTTAAATTAAAAAAGGAGGACCTAGAGAGATATTCAGCAGTTAACAGGACTTGCTGCTCTTCCAGAGGTCCTGAATTCACAAGGTCCAGCACTCACAAGATGGTGCACAACAGTGGAATCTGAACACTCTTCTAGTGTACAGACACACATGTAAACAAAACACTCATATATATAAAATGCATAAATAAATCTTTCTAAAGTTTTTTAAAAAGAAACGTTGGCTTTGCTCTTAGAGGCAGTGGTGACTGTATGTTTGTATGCTGTTAGAAAGACTTAGTTGAAAGAAAAAGAATGGACAGTGTAGTAGGTAGAGAACTAATTGCACCAGGGCAGCGTCCTTGGCTTATAATGGTGCACAGAGGATTGCATTAGCTGGGAGTGTGAACAGTCGTGAATTGTAGGAAATGTGGAGGCACAGGAAGAGAGAACAAGCTGGCAGCTGGATAGGCACTAGAGGGAGGAAATGTGGATCATCCTTCAATTTCATCAGTTCCTTCAGAAATCAAACTCGGTGCTGTAAGATAGCAATGAAGAGGGAAAGGGAAGATAGGAAACAGGCATTCAAAAGATACTGAGTTGGAGGTTATAAAGTCATTCCATGATTGGTGATAAGATCCCTAGATCATGCCAGTGTGAGTGAGCAGCTAAGGGGGAAGGAACATTCAGGAACCAAAGCTTAGGGCTTGCAGCGCCTGATTATGTTGAAAAGATTGCAAGTGAAGACAGAAGTGTCACAGTGATTTAGAAAGGAATAAGGTGAATGATGGGTTGATAGATGAAGGCAACACTTTTTATGAGTAAAGTTAACATAGTCTAAACTTGTTTTCCCATATTTCAGAATCTTACAGTATTTGTGTCTATCAGAATAAAAAATTACTCATTTTTATGCCAAAAAATGTAGTGATGGACCATATCTGTTCTTTCACTGACCTACTTCAGTCTCTCTTTAGACTGTTAAGTATGGCGGTTTGTGTGTGTGTGTGTGTGTGTCTGACTTTTTATTAATAATTTACCTAGAGCAGCTTTAGTTACTCAGAACTGATATTCTTTGGGCATGGTTAATTGCTACAGTTTGGGTTCCTTGGGAAGTAAACTGGTAAAGGGAAGTGTAGAGATTACACAGATCAACAGTGGCTTGGATTAAAAAATAAGCCCTATTGTATAATCAAATAAAAGTCTTTTCTCTTTGATGTAACAGTGAATCCATAGATAGGGAGTTGGGAGCGACAGCTGAGAAAGATCTTTTCTTTCCTGCTGCAGAATCTAGTGTGACTTCTGCCCTTTTATTTTTGTTTTTAATTATGTATGTGTGTCTGTGTGGAAGTATGTACGGGTGCCCATAAAGGCCAGAGGCATCAGATCCCCCTGAAGGCGGAGTTACAGGTGATTGTGAGCCAGTGGACATGGGACTGAGGAAGCAAACTTAGGTCCTCTGCAAGGAAAATAAATGATCAAAACCACTGAGCCATGAAGTGGAGTGACAATAAAGCAGCCAAATCCTAGTGTTTTCATTAAAATTTCTTCTCTAGAACACTTAGCTAGGAACCTGTGCTTCCATCTTTTGAATACAACTGTGGCCACTACAATTTGTGTACAGTTTAAGGAGCCAGTTATGTTGAGCTAAGCACACTGCTGCCCGTCACAGAATTAGGTATGTGTTAGTGGGGAGGGCAGTGTCCTTGGCCTAGAAGAACAGGTTGAAAACCACTGTTTTAGAGGTTGTTAAAGCCATGTTAGTGTTTCCTGCCTTCAATTTCAATTTTATGTGTTGCCAATCACTTCCTTCCCCTCTAAGAAATATGAAGTGATATTCCCCTTTCCTGTGCTACCCAAACGTAAAGTGGTTTTACGTTTTCAAGGTATATTTATTCTGTCTTGTAATTATATTTCTCTCAGTTTGGAGATGGAGCTCATGCTTCTGGTTATTCAGGAACTTGAATGTCTCTTACCTATAGTGGCTCCAATGGGAATTATTTTGGTTCTTTTTTTTATTGAATATTATTAATTCATTGTTTCTTCAAAGAGAGCTTTGGGGTTTTAATTATGAGGTGTTTGCTATTTGAATTTCATATTAAGAATTTTTTTTCTTAAGTAAGGGGAAAAATACTGGATAGGTGTCTCACTATTAAGAGCACTTGCTGCTCTTGCAGAGAATCTGGTTCAGTTGCCAGCACCCACATGGTGGCTTACAACTGTTTGTGCCTCCACTACCAGAGGATTCAAAGTCCCTTACTGGCCTCCTTTGGCCCCAAGCACAAACATGGTGCATAGATAAACATTCCACAAACACTCACACTCACACTCACACACAAAAACATCAGGAATGGCAAATTCTGTTGTAAAAAAGACTGGCAGGCTAGACTCACACACACAAGACCACCTGTGTTTAGCTGCCTGGTCCTGAACAGAGTATTGGCCATCTTAGAGGATAAGTTGTTTAAAGTGATAAAGCCTTGAAGTTACCCTGTTTCACAGTCTCCTCACACTGATCCAGCTCCATTTGTGATTTCAGGTATCCGGGGGCAAAAGCAGAGATTGACTGTGGGTGGCTTCTGGGGTTGCAGTGACTATAGTGAAAGAGCTGTGGGGTGGGGTGATGCCTCAGCCTGTGCAACAATCACCATTTTACCTTCCCATTGCTGCTGTCCTCATATTCATTGTCCATCCTTGCTGAATGCACCGCACCTTCAACCTGACTTCTGTGATGCTTTCTTCTGTTGTCTGCAATATATAGAAATATTATCTGGAACAAAACTCATCAAGCCTGCAGCTCTGAATAAGCCATCCCCTCAAAGTGAAGGTAGCCTAGCCACACCTAAGAGGCCTGAAGACCCCCCAGATGATGCCCTTGTTCAGTTTCAGACTGTAGGTATTGAAGTTCTTCTTAATAGTTATAATTTTCATACCTTAAAATCATTTTAAAAGTAAATTATAAAGTATGTGTTAATTGAACACTATGTAAAAAAATATCACAGTTGAAGTTGATTAATATGCACAAATAAAATATAAAATTAATTTTTCTTATTTACATCACTCTTACCGTTTTTTGTTTTTTTTTTTTACTTGTTTCTGCCTTTTTTTACATATAATTTAATTTTTATTTTATTTTTACTCTGAAGGTGTCAGATCCCTTGGAATTGGGGTATAGACAGTTGTGAGCTGCCATGTGGGTGCTGGGAATTGAACCCAGGTCCTTTGGAAGAGCAGACAGTGCTCTTAACCACTGAGCCATCTCTCCAGCCCCCGTTTTCTTTGTAGAACTATTAACATGTCATTGCCAGTTTTCATTTTTGTGTTTGTGTTCTAAGTTTTAAACATACAGTAGTGTAATGAAGCAATGCTTCTTTTTGAAAGGAGCCTTCAGGATCCTATGTTGGAAACAGAGAGAAAGAATTACTAATGTTGAAAAGAGCTCAGGAAGCAGAGGAAAAATGGAGGGGTGCACAAGCACTAATTGAACAAATTAAAATCACATTCTCGGAAAAGGAGAAGGAGCTGGAGAACACCATGGAAAACCTAAAGAGGCAGCAGGAGAGAGAGCTCTTCAAACTCAACCAAGAAAATTACATTCTTCAGGCCAAGGTACCGAGTGCACTATTCAGTTTCCCTTTTTATTTATTGAACAAACAAACAAAAAACAAAACTGTGCTTCCTACTAAATTCCTTGTTATCCTTGGTGCCTGGAGCTGTTGAATTGATGTATTTGTCACATAAAATACAGACTTCATTCTTGGTTCTCTCCTTACGAAAGAGTGAATTGAACCATTGGGGAAAATCAAAACTTGGCTCATTTTGATGATTTCCCCATGTCAGCTGTTCTTTTAAAAATATATCAGTGAGTTCATTATGAACCCCAGAAAAATGAGAGTTTTAGCAAGAAAAGCATTGGAAGGTGCAGTATCAAAGCATGTCAGCATAATGCTTCTGAGGCCCTTCTCTCGGCAAAAAAATCTCTGTGCTGACTTGACTGTGGTCACAGCACTTCTCAGTATGCTTAGTAATGGAGGTTGTTTGGGTCTGAAAAAACTATTTTCCTCACTTCTTTCTTCATTTTCCTCTGCAAATTAAACAACTTCTCCATTTTCTTAAAGCTAAGTAGCTTTGAAGAAACAAGCAGAAAACAGAGGTGGCTACAATTTGGAGAAACATCTGATCCCATCACTGGAGAAAAACTGAAACAAATCCAAAAAGAGATCCAAGAACAAGAGACACTTCTTCAAGGGTATCAGCAGGTGTGGTAGTTCTTCAGCCTCTGACAACTCTGGTTTTGATCCTTTAATCATAAATATCAAGTTACATTAAAAATACCGCTGTGGTCATGTAAGATGTAGTGTCTTCACCCTAACATACATCATTCCTCTCCTTTCCTCCTCCTTCCCTCCTGGTCTTCCTCCGGTGCCCTGGAACTCATGGATAGTCCAGGTGAGCCTCAAGGTTGTGATCCACCCCCCAAATGTTTGGTATAGACATGCACTGTCTTGCCCAGTTGACCTGTACATTTCTTTTTTTTTTTTTTCTTTTTTTAATTTTTTTTTTTACTATTAATTACACTTTATTCACTTTGTATCCCCCATAAGCTCCTCCCTCCTCCCCTCCCGATTCCACCCTCCCTCCCCCTTCCTCACACATGCCTCTCCCCAAGTCCACTGATAGGGGAGGTCCTCCTCAACTTCCTTCTGATCTTAGTCTACCAAATCTCATCAGGAGTGGCTGCATTGTCATCCTCTGTGGCCTGGTAAGGCTGCTCTCCCCTCAGGGGGAGGTGATCAAAGAGTAGGCCAATCAGCTTATGTCAGAGGCAGTCCCTCTTCCTATTACTATGGAACCCACTAAACTGCCTTGGGCTACATCTGGACCTGCACATTTCTTATTAGCCAGATTAAAGTAGCCAATTCTGGATTTAAATAAAAACCTAGTTTTAAATCTTAACTCTAAAACTGTGAAGCCATGTGTAAAACCTCTCACCCTTCTGTTTTTATGAGTAAGGACAATAGTGAATAAGGTATAGTGAAATTCAAAATAAAACAATACAGACTAGCCTCATAACCAAGCACGTAGTAGCCAGTCAGAAATCATTACATGCTATTTTAATAGCCATGTTCCTTAGAGATGAGCACATTTTCCTTTGCTTTCTACAAAGTTTGTAATAGAGTTTGACTAGTCTTGATATTATTTTTAGCAATAACAATCTGTACTCAAGTGCTAATGCCCAAGGATGAACTTTTTTAAGTTAGTATGAGCTGTTTGTTTATAGCAGTAGATGTTTTCAGTGGCTTTAAGACTTATCTTCCTTCTCTGCCTTACTTTTTGTCCTATTTCTCTTCTTTTGTCTCCCACCTCATTAATTGTTTTTTTCTCTTTTACAACTATAATCTGAGCTCTGCGCTATTCTTTATCACCCAGAGAGGATTAAGAAAAAGCATTTTCACACAGTTGCTCTGAATGTTTGGCTAGCACACGCTGCCCTCAGTTTAGAGAGATCCATTCAGATTCTTCATCCACTGCTTCATCTTGCCAAACAGAGGGATTTTTCAAATTTCACAGACCCTTAAGTATGTCAGCTGCCCCCTCAGAAGACAATATCCAAGCTGTGTGTGTTGATACCATCTGCCAGGCACTGGTCCACATGTGCTGAGATAATCCATAGTTTGCTACCACCTCAAAAGCTCTTAGTTTTCAGCAAATTCTTAATATGAAGCTAGGTCAGTAAGTTACAGATTAATCTAATTAATTACAGATGAATCTAATCACAGATTCATTTGTTCCATATTGAATTACCTCGCTGTTAAAAGCCAGACTTATGAAATTTTCCTCTACTTCTGATTTTTTCCCCCTTCCTGTCCCAAATCAGAATTGGGTGTATAGCCCCACTGGGCTCTCTCACTCCTAGCCCACCACATAGGTGATAAAGATATGTTGATTCTGTCTTCACTCTGCCTTTTGCATTTGCACTGATGAAATTCAGTTTATTACACTGCCATTAGATTCTTCAATTTAGGGGAATTTTTAACACTTTGTTTTTTGAGTAAACAATTTTAGCATTTCAGAAAGAGTTGTGTCTAGATAATTTGCCTTCTATGATGATAGAAGATGTATGAAAAAAATTTTAAATTTATAAAATTAAAAAAGCAAATTTTCCAAGTGTAGTGCCTGTAATCCCAGCACTCAGGGGAGGCAGAGGCAGGCAGATCTCTGAGTTCAAGGCCAGCCTGATCTACAAAGCAAGTCCACTAGTTAGCCTCGAAAAACCTAAATAAATAAGTGAATAAAAAATATATAAATAAAGGCAGGAAAATTTAAAGACCACCTAAATGATTTATTTACTAACATTCCATTTTATGTTATAAAGTACTGCTAACTTAACTAAAATTCATTTTTCTGTTTTTAAAAAGGAAAATGAAAGGTTGTATAATCAAGTAAAAGATCTTCAGGAACAAAATAAGAAAAATGAAGAGCGAATGTTTAAGGAAAATCAGAATTTATTTAGTGAGATAGCTTCTTTAAAGTAAGTTCTTTTGAAATTCTTACACTTAAATATGCTTAACTGTTTCTAAGCATAATGTTATCATCTTAATAATGCATTTTTTCTTAAAAATGATACTTTAGCATGTATCTATTCTCACTTGTATATTGACTTCAAGTCTCATAATTTTTATGTTACAGAGGCAGAGGATTTTTCTTTTAGTAACTGATAGTAATTGATAGCTAGTATTCTCAACAGTATTCTCAACATATCTGAGTGTGTCGCCATTGTTTTTAAGAAACTGAAACTAGAGCATTTGTCTTTGTCCACACTTAAGCCTAAAATGCTTAATTATTCCCTAAACAATGATTTGCTCAATAATACAAAAATAAAAAATAAAAACCATAGTATCACTTTGAACTTAGGTTCTGTAGAAACAGAAGAACTGTAGAATAACTCTGGAAAGAGAAAAAGAAACAATGATCGTAGAAAAAGAGAAAAAGAAAGACGAGAGGATGTAAATGGTGTGATCTCATCTGAAGGCTAGCTTCACTCTGATGTCACCAGGAAGCTCAAAAGAATAGACTGCTCTATACTTGGTACCTAGCTGAGCCCCAGCCACTGGCTGGGATGTACCTGTGAAGGAACTTGGAATGTCTTCCAGGTTTGGCTGAAGTCAGTTGTTCAGAGAGAAAAAAACAAAATAAACAAAAAACACCTATGAGTTTTTACTATGTCCAGCACTCACTGCAGAGTAGTGGAACACATCTGCCAGACCCTGGGCCATCATCACCTTACTGTTAGAAGGATAAATGCCAAACCTACAACCATGCACAAACTAGGTACTGCCTTCTGCTAGGAAATAACAGTTCATCATTTCACATCAATGTCCAGTCACACAGGATGTTACCAGAAGTTGTATTGACTGTGAATGTCACGAATGCTAACCTTATTTAGTAACAGGCTACCTTCTTTTAGATGGCTTGTAACACAAAAAGTGTAGATATTACAAGAGTGTAGCATACACTCTTTTGTGTAAAACAGAAAAATATACACCCTCCAGTAGATAGAAGTGACAGCTATACAGATTGGTAAGCAGAGGGTGTGTGGGTCTGTGTTTTAATGTCCAGTTCTGGTCAGTGTGGCCCCAAAGCCAGGTGTGCTGAACTGATGCTTGAAAATACTTACATCTTCTTTCTAGATGCTTCTCATACGGATTTCTAGATCTCATAAAGATCCTATCTGAACTGGAAATGTAACTCAGTTGGCAGAGTCCAGGCACAGTATCCAGTACCACTTACAGTAGGGCCTGGTAGCATACACCTGTTATCACAGTGCTCTGGAGGGGAGGCAGGAGGCTCAGAAGTTCAAGGTCATCTTCAGCCATCTAGCAACATAGAAACCAGCTTGGACTACATGTGACTGTGTCAGATATTAGATAAACAAGCATCTTTACTACCTGGCTTCTAGAAAGAACTACTCCAAAATCCCAAACTAAGTGACTTCCATGATAAAATAATTTATTTAAATAACTTACTGAGAACATTAAGGCTATATTATATAGATTTCTTTTAAAAGTATCTAAAAATAGAATCTGAGGTCCAGATGTGTTTTGGTTTTGTTTGTTTCCATGTTTAAAATTGGAATTTTTGTTTGTCAAAAGAAAGGAGGTGGCAACAGTAAGATCAGGAGTACACAGAAAGCTCTAGAAAAATAGCACATTTTTTGTAACACTTCATTTTCTCTGAGAATTAGAAGCAAATGTTTTTAAATTTCATTTAAACCAAAAATCTTAGTATTCCTGTTCTTCTAACGTGAAAAGCATAAGCATTTCCCTCAAGTCTACTTTTTAACATGTAGTGATTCATATAGTTTGGAATTCATTAGAATATTTTGTATTAAAGGAAATACTTTTTTTATTAATCTTTTTTTTTTAATTTTCAAAATTAGAGAACAGATGAACAAAAATCGTTTTCTGTCTCAAGGAGTTGAAAATGCAGAACCCACCAAAACCCAGAGTTTTACGGATCTTCTAGCAGAATTACGGGTAGCACAGGTAAGTTGAATAAGGACTTTAACTATTGAGGTTAGTAATCATAGAAATTTCAGTGTGCAAAAAAAAACCCATTATTTTAAGATATATTATTTGAAAATTAGGAAGTATCTAAGATTAGCATTTAGTATTCATGTGACTTTAATGTACAGAAAACTCTGGAAGCTGGTTTAAATGGTCCCTACTCTTCAGTACAACCTCTCCCTGGGCACTTATCACACCGAGCCACATCACAGGCATTACACTGGGGGCACATATATACTTTGTTTCAAACAAATTCCCAGCTCTTGGAAAAGAACATGGCCTGCGCCTTTTAGTGAGACCCATGTTTAGTTCTCACTGCCTCCTTCAGGCAGCTCACAGTCACCTCTAATTCCAGCTTCAGGGGGTCCAATGCCTCTGCCATCCCAGGGCAGCGTCACCCAGTGTCTACACACGCCGCGTGCTTATGCTTTAAAAACATCAAGATTTAAATGTATTTAAAATATTAAAAAAGAAAGAACATTAAAATACATTAAAAAGTTCTTCATTATAGTAAATACACTCATTGCTAAAATAGGAAACAGTATGAAGGTAACTGTTGCCTTTAAAAATTAGTAACTTTGTTTTGGGAGTGTTTTTTATTAATTAAGTTATTTATTTACTTTACATCCTGATCACTGCTTCCCCTCCCTCCTCTACTACCAGGCCCTCCCTCTCACCTCTCTCTCTCTCCCCCCATCTATCCCTCTTCCTATTGTCCTCAGAAAATGGAATATCAACCAGCCTTGGCATATCAAGTTGCAGTAAGCCTAGGCACATCTTCTACTGAGGCTAGACAAGGCAGCCAAGTTTGCGGAGGGATTCAGAAGCAGGCAACAAAGTCAGAGACAGCCTCTGCTCCTGCTTTAGGAGTCCCACATGAAGACCCTAGCTGCATAACTGTGACATGTGTGCACAGGGCCTAATTCCATCCTATGCATGCTCCACGGTAGGCAGTTCAGTCTCTGTGAGCCCTTACGGGTTCAGGTTAGTTGATTCTGCAGGTTTTCTTATGGTGCCCTTGATCCCTCTCACTCCTTCCATCCTTCCTGCCCCACTTCCACAGGATTCCCCAATTTCCACTTAATGTTTGGCTATGAGTATCTGTATCTGTTTCCATCAGTTGCTGGATAAAGCCTCTCTAATGAGAGTTATGCTAAATTTATGTCTGCCAGTATAGCAGAATATCACTAATAGTGTCAGGGGTGGGCTGCCTCTCGTGGCATGGGTCTCAAGCAGAGCCAGTCATCAAATTCTGTTCTATCTTTTACCCCTGCACATCTTGTAGGCAGGAGAAATTGTGGGTCTAAGGTTTTATGGTTGGGTTGGTATCATAAACCCTCCATTGAAAGTCTTGCCTAGTTACAGGAGATAGACAGTTCAGGCTCCATTCCCCCGTCTCATCCCTCTTGTCCTATTCTCATACCTCTCCCACCTAGACCCCTTCCACCACTCACCCTCCAATATCTAATCTGTTTGCCTTTCTCAGAAAAATTCAAGTGTGCCCCCTTGGGCCCTCCTTGTTAGTTAGCTTCTTTGGTCTGTGAGTTGTAGTGTAATTATCCTGTGCTTTATAATATCCACTTATAAGTGAGTACATACCATATTTGTCTTTCTGGGTCTGGGTTACTTCACTCGAATGGCCTTTTCTAATTCCATCCATTTGCCTGCAATTTTCGTTCTTTTTAATGGCTGGGTAAACTCCATTGTGTAAATGTAACACATTTTCTTTATGCATTCTTTGTTTGAGGGACATCTAGGTTGTTTCCAATTTCTGGCTATTATGAATGAAGCCACTATGAATATAATTGAACAAGTGTCTTTTTGATATGATGGAACATCTTTTGGGTATATACCAAGGAAAGGTATAGCTGGATCTTGAGGTAAAACTATTCCCATATTTCTAATAAACTGCCAAATTGATTTCCAAAGTGGTTATGCAAGTCTGCACATCCACCAGCAATGGGGAAGTGTTCCCTTTACTCCACATCCTCGCTAGCATGAGCTGTTGCTTGAGTTGTTTTGTTTTTTTTTTTTAACTTTATTATTATCATTTACTACAATTTATTCAATTTGTATGCCGGCTGTGTCCCCCTCCCCCATCTCCTCCCGATTTTATCCTCCCTCCCTTTTCTCCCCCTATACCCCTCTCCTAGTCCACTGATAGGTGAGGACCTCCTCCCCTTCCATCTGACCCTAGCCTATCAGGTCTCATCAGAACTGGTTGCATTGTCTTCCTCTGTGGCCTAGCAAGGCTGTACGCCTCCCCCCCCCCCCCCCGGGGGAGGTGATCAGAGAGCCTGTCACTGAGTTCATGCCAGAGAAAGTTCCTGCTCCCCTTACTAGGGAACCCACTTGGAGACTGAGTCCATGGGCTACATCTGAGCCAGGGTTTTAGGTCCTCTCTATGCATTGTCCTTGGTTGGGGGTATCAGTCTCTGCAGGAACCCCAGGGCTAATGTTTTGTGGTTTTTTTGTTTTGTTTGGTTTGGTTTGGTTTGGTTGGTTGGTTTTTTTGTTGTTTTTTTTTTTGTTTGTTTGTTTGTTTTTGTTTTTTTTTTGGTTTGGTTTTTTTTGGGGGGGTGGATTTTGTTTGTTTGTTTGTTTGTTTGTCTCTGTTGGTCTCCTTTTGGCGCTCCTGTCCCCTCCAGGTCTTTTTATCTCCCCCTTCTTTCGTAAGATTACCTGCACTCTGCCCAAACTTTAGCTATGAGTCTCATCCTCTGCTCAAAACCTCAATCAGTGGACTTAGGGAGGGGCAATCATGAAGAAGGGGGAGGAGGGTGGGATCAGGAGGGAAGGAGGGAGGGGCTTATGGGGGGATACAAAGTGAATAAAGTGTAAAAAAAAAATAATAATAATAATAATAAAACCTCAATCAGCAGAGTCTTTCAGAGGCCCTCTGTGGTAAGCTCCTGTCCTGTTCCCTGTCTTCTCCTGCTTCCAATGTCTATCACATTTGTCCTTCTGAATGAGGATTGAGCATCTTCCCTAGGGTCTTCCTTGTTGTTTAGTTTCTTTAAAAGTATAGATTTTAGTATGTTTATCCTATATTATATGGCCAATATCCACTTATGAGTGAGTATATACCATATGTGTCTTTCTGCTTCTGGGTTACCTCACTCAAGATGATCTGTTCTAGTTCCCACCATTTGCCTGCAAATTTCATGATTTCCTTGTTTTTAATAGCTGAGTAGTATTCCGTTGTGTAAATGTACCACAATGTCTATATCCATTCCTCCATTGAGGGATATCTAGGTTGTTTCCAGCTTCTGGCTATTACAAATAGAGCTGTTATGAATATGGTTAAGCATAAGTCTTTGTTGTATAGTTGAACATATTTTGGATATATACCTAGGCATCAGGGAAATACAAATCAAAACAACCCTGAGATTTCACCTTACACTCATCAGAATGGCTAATATCAAAAACTCAAGTGACAACACATGCTGGAGATGATATGGAGAAAGGGGAACCCTCCTCCATTGCTAGTGAGAGTGTAAACTTGTACAAACACTTTGGAAATCAATCTGGTGCTTTCTCAGACAGTTAGGAATAGTGGTACCTCAAGATCCAGCTATACCACTCCTAGGCATATATCCAAAAGATGCTCAAGTATACAGCAAGGACATTTGCTCAGCCATGTTCATAGCAACTTTATTTGTAATAGCCAGAAGTTGGAAACAACCCAGATGCCCCTCAGTTAAGGAATAGATACAGAAATTGTGGTACATTTACACAATGGGATACTACTTGATTCCATTGATCAACTTGTCTGTTTTTATGCCAATACCATGTGGTTTTTATTAGGTTCTGTAGTATAGCTTGAAATCAGAGATGGTGGTACATCCACAAGTTTTTTTATTGAACAAGATTTTTAGCTATCCTGTTTTTGTTGTTGTTGTTGTTGTTGTTTTTCTATTTGAAGTTGGGTATTCTTTCAAGGTCTATAAAGAAATGTTTTGGAATTTTGAAGGGAATTGCTTTGAACTTGTAGATGGCTTTGGTAAGATGGCAATTTTTACTGTATAATCCTACTGATCCATGATCATAGCAGATCTTTCCATCTTCTGATATCTTTAATTTCTTTCTTCAGAGATTTGAAATTCTTATCATACAGGTCTTTCACTTGCTTGGTTAGAGTTACACCAAGATATTTTATATTATTTATGGCTACTGTGAAGGGTGTTGTTGCCCTAATTTCTTTTTCCGCCCATTTGTTGTTTGTATAAAGGGGGGCTACTGATTTTTTTAATTAATTTTGTATCCAGCCCTTTTCTGAATGTGTTTATCAGCGTTAGGAGTTCCCTGGTAGAATTTTTGAGGTCACTTATGTATTCTATCATATCATCTGCAAAGAGCAATTCTTTGACTTCTTCTTTTCCAGTTTGTATCTCTTTGGTCTTTTTCAGTTGTTTTTTGCCATAGCTAAAACTTCAAGTACTATATTGACTAGATTCAGAGAGTGGGCAGCCTTATGTTATTCCTGATTTTAGTGGAATTGCTTTAAATTTCTCCCCATTTAATTTGATGTTGGCTATTGGCTTGCTGTATATTGCTTTTATTGTGTTTAGGTATATGCCTTTTATCCCTGATCTCTCTAAGACTTGTAATAAAGGGTGTTGGATTTTGTCAAAGGCTTTTTCAGCATCTAATGAGATAATCATGTGCTTTTTATTTTCTTTTTAGTTTGTCTATATGGTGGAGTTCACTGATGGATTTTTATATGTTGAACCATTCCTTCATTTCTGGGATGAAGCCTACTTGATAATGGTGGATGATGTTTTTGATATGTTTTTTGATTCAGTTTGCGAGTATTTTATTGAATATTTTTGCATCAGTTTCTGAGTTTGTAGGCTTCCTGTTGTTTCTGTTGTTAAGATCCAGCTTTAATCCATGGTGGTCTGATAAGATACAAGGAGTTATTTTAATTTTTTTGTTATCTATTGAGACTTGCTTTGTGGTGGTCAGTTCTGGAAAAGGTTCCATGAGGTGCTAAGCAGAAGGTATATTCTTTTGTGTTTGGGTGAAATATTCTGTAAATATCTATTAGGTCCATGTGGTCATAGCATCTGTTAGTTTTATTATTTCTGTTGAGTGCCCTTGCATTTGGGGCATAGATATTCAGAATTGTCATCTTGGTGGATTTTTCCTTTGATGAGTATGAAGTATCCTCCATCCTTTTGGATTAATTTTGGTTAGAAGTCTATTTTATTAGATATTAGAATGGCTACTCCATCTGGCTACTCCATCTTGGGTCCGTTTGCTTTGAAAAATCTTTTTCCAGGCCCTTCCTCTGAGGCAATGTCAATCTTTGATGTTGAAGTATGTTTCTTATATGCATCAGAATATGAATCCTGTTTTCAGATCCATTGTTAGCCTATGTCTTTTTATTGGGGAATTGACTGCATTAATGTTGAGAAATATTAATGACCAATGACTGTTAATTCCTGTTATTTTGATGTTGTTGGTTGTTGTGTGTGTGTGTGTTTCTCTTCTTTTGGTTTTGCTGGTGTAGGGTTATTTTTTTTCCTGTGTTTTCATGGCTGCAGTTAACCTCCTTAGGTTGGAGTTTTACTTCTAGTATCTTCTGCAGGGCGGGATTTGTGAATAGATATTGTTTAAATTTGGTTTTGTTATAGAATTTCTGGTTTTCTCCGTCTATGGTGATTAAAAGTTTTGCTGGCTATTGTAGTCTGGGCTGACATCTGTGGTCTCTTAGGATCTGCAAGACATCTGCCCAGGCCCTTCTGGCTTTTAGAGTCTCTGTTGAGAAGTCAGGTGTAATTCTGATAGGTCTGTCTTTATATGGTAGTAGGCCTTTTTCCCTTGGTGCTTTTAATATTCTTTCTTTCTTCTGTACAGCTAGTGTTTTGATTCTGTGGTGGCAGGATTTTTTCTGGTTCAGGCTATTTCGTGTTCTGTAAACTTCTTGTATGCTTATTGGCGTCTCTTCCTTAGGTTAGGGAAATTTTCTTTTGTGATTTTGTTGGAAATAGACCTCTCAGCTGGGAATCTTCTTATTATATTTCTGTTATTCTTAGGTTTGGTCTCTTCATAGTGTTACAGATTTTTCTGGTTGTTTTGTGTCAGAAACTCTTTAGATTTAACATTGACTGATGTATCAATTTTTTCTATTGTATCTTCTTGCCTGACAGTCTCCCTTCCATTTCTTGTATTCTGTTGGTGATGCTTGTATCAATATTTTGGTTCTCTTGCCTAGGTTTTCCACCTCCAGGATTCCCACAGTTTGTGTTTTCTTTATTGCTTCTATTTCCATTTTTAGGTCTTGAACACTTTACCTGTTTGATTGTAATTTTCTGTATTTCTTTAAGAGATTCATTCATTTCCTCTTTAAAGGCCTCTATCATCTTCATAAGATTGGATTTAAGGTCATTTTCTTGTGCCTCAGCCATATTAGGATATCCAGAGCTTGCTGTTGTAGGACAGTTGGTCTGATGGTACCATATTCCCCTGGCTGTTTGTTCTTATGCTGGTCTTCAGCCATCTGGGTTTTGCAATTATTATAGGTTTAAATGCTGACTTCTGAGTTTATCTTTGTTGGATGTGTGGGGTTTTTTTTTTTGTTGTTGTTGTTTGTTTGTTTGTTTTTGGTTTTTTTGGTTTTTTTTTTTTGTTTTTTGTTTTTTTTTTTTTTTTTTTTTTTTTTTTTTTTTTTTTTTTTTTTTTT